CTGGGTATTAATCTACTTGTGGATAGAATGTTATATGTACCGAGGAAAAGTTATTGGCCATAGCATAATTTGCGAAGGATTTGGTCAAAGCCTGAGCTCCCCGCCTACTCAACCCCCTCCCCAAATGAGGCGATTGGTTCTCTGAGTCAGGGAGACACCCTGTGGAGTTCCTAGAAAAGCTAAGCTGAGTTGAAGAATTCTCCCTTTTTAACATAGGAACCAATTTTGGGAAAAAACGCCCATTTGCTCAGAAAAGTTGGAAGCTGCTTAACTCAAGGCTTTTGGCAAGTACTTTATCTAAATTCCTTTCTGTTATCTCTTTGCTGTGCTATTGCTTTCTGTATATTTATATATATATATTGGCTACATGTTTTTCTGTAAATATTTTTATTGCACCCTTTTAACCTTTTAGTAATAAATCTTACTTTCTGAAAGTGTTGAACTGTTTCTAAAGCTCTTTAATGCAAACTCAGAACCCCTGCCTCTGAAAAGCGCTACTGTATGTGTGTTTTTTAAACTTTGGTATATCGCTGCCTGTGGTGACAGTGGTATACTGACGATTATTCAAACATCATAGTGTTATTGTTGATATTGCTGAGTTTCCTCTTTCTCTGTACAAAAAGGAGGTGGTGGCAGTGTGAAGGGTTAATTGCGTAATCTGACCCAGTAACAATCGCGCTCAGGCTGCAGGTACATCGATTGTGGTCCATTAGCTGGAGAATCGTTGTGCAGGGTGCAGCTAGTCGTGGAATTGTTACGCACGTGATAGACCAGTTTTAGATTGGCTAGTCCTTCGGTCACGAGTTTGGTGAGAAGGGCTGGGGTCTGATGCCGCGATCGTCACAGGTAGTATTTGTCACGAATGAAATATACTTTACCACATATTTTTGTGCTTTCCCTTGTGACAACATAGTTCCGTCTGCATATACAGTGTAATAAATTATCTTACTACAGATGTAGCGTTTCATGAACAGGGTATGCCTATGTGGTAGATATATAGACAAACCAGCCTAAATAATAAAACGATTAATGTAGGTACACGGACAGCCAACCAGAAGCCACAAAGGATATTTCTCAGTACCCTCCCTTAATATTGTTAAGAATCTTAGACTTTTAACTCTCTCTCCCCTCATGGGTATCCCATCTCCTACTTATCAGTTACTTCTACATTTCCCTGTATCTGGATTCTCATACATTAGCTGTATTTCATTACATCTGTCTTTATCTGGACATGTCTATAAATAGTGGCGTTGTAGTGGTGAGTAGAATTGGTAGTTTGATGTCACTGTCATGTTTTATCTCCTAAATCAATGATAAAATTGAATTAGACTTCCAAAGATTGCTGTAGACTCTCAATGTAGAAAGGATTCCATCAGTTTTATAACCTAGTATTGGAAAAGTCTTTCACAAGGGGTTAGAAGACTACAACACTATCACTGACCTAGGAGATAAAACATGACAGTGACATCAAACTACCAAGTCTATTCAGCCCACCATTTATGGACGTGTCCAGATAAAGGCACATGTAAAGGTATACAGACTGTATGTGAATACAGCTACAGGAAAAGAGTTTAAAGTCTAAGATTATTTCCATTATTAGGAAAATGGCACTAAGAAATATCCCTTTAGGCCAGTTTGTCTCTATCTACCATGTACACATACTCTCCTGAAGAAGTGAACATTGTTCACGAAAGGCATAGAAAACACTAAATCTGTAATAAAAATTATGTAATATATGCAGTTGAACTCTGTTGTCTATAGGCAAAGCACAAAATATGTGGTTAGTTATATGAAAAACATTTGTTGCGACGAATAACAGCCTTGTAATGTAGTTATGTCTGTTATGGTGTAGGAATTTTACCAAAGGTAATATAATAAATTTGATTGGAAATTGTATACCTTTATAATCCTAATTACTTGTAAATACAAAATTGCTTTAAGTGGCAGGGAGAATGGTATAATGATGGATTCAGCCAGTGTGAGGATCTGTACACAATTGTACACCATTTACTAAATGTAGACAGAGAGGGAGGGGAGAGCCTGAAAGGTGCTTTGTGGGGATAGAAGGACTCCAACCTTCCTTCATCCAGTGCAGGCCACCATGTGAGAAGGTGGCTAGACAGGCAGAGCCAGATTCTTGAAGCCAAAATTCAGTAACAGCGAGTAGGTTAAGCAGTGGTGCATTTAGGTTTTGTGCTGCCCTAGGCATCACAGGAATAAGGACAACCCCCCACGGAGAGAGCCTGAAATTGACCAAGAACACCCCTGCCCCCCACCCGAGAAAGCCTTCCATTAACATAACACACATTTCCCGCCCCGGGTGGGATAAGAACGCACGGTGGGGATAAGCACATGTGACAAGGGCATGCACAAGGGGTAGTGATAAGCACGTGCGACAGGGGTGCGGGTGGGATAAGCACGCGTGACAGGGGCGTACACGGTGAAGGGGGGATAGTGATGTGCGCGTGGGATAAGCACGCGCGAGGGGCGTACACGGGGGTTGGCGATAAGCACGCGCGGCAGGGGCGCGCCTCGGATAAGCACGCGCGGCAGGGGCGCGCCTCGGATAAGCACGCGCGGCAGGGGCGCGCCTCGGATAAGCACGCGCGGCAGGGGCGCGCCTCGGATAAGCACGCGCGGCAGGGGCGCGCCTCGGATAAGCACGCGCGGCAGGGGCGCGCCTCGGATAAGCACGCGCCACGGGTGCGTGCGGGGGGTGGCATAAGCACGCGCCACGGGTGCGTGCGGGGGTGGCATAAGCACGCGCCACGGGTGCGTGCGGGGGTGGCATAAGCACGCGCCACAGGTGCGGGGGGGTGGCATAAGCACGCGCCACGGGTGCGTGCGGGGGTGGCATAAGCACGCGCCACGGGTGCGTGCGGGGGTGGCATAAGCACGCGCCACGGGTGCGTGCGGGGGTGGCATAAGCACGCGCCACGGGTGCGTGCGGGGTGGCATAAGCACGCGCCACGGGTGCGTGCGGGGGTGGCATAAGCACGTGCGGGGACGGGATAAGCACGTGCGACGGGTGCGTGCGGGATAAGCACGCGCCACGGGTGCGTGCGGGGGTGGCATAAGCACGCGCCACGGGTGCGTGCGGGGGTGGGATAAGCACGCGCCACGGGTGCGTGCGGGGGGTGGCATAAGCACGCGCCACAGGTGCGTGCGGGGGGTGGCATAAGCACGCGCCACGGGTGCGTGCGGGGGTGGCATAAGCACGCGCCACGGGTGCGTGCGGGGGTGGCATAAGCACGCGCCACGGGTGCGTGCGGGGGTGGCATAAGCACGTGCGGGGATGGGATAAGCACGTGCGACGGGTGCATGCGGGGGTGGGATAAGCACGTGCGTGTGGGGGTGGGATAAGCACGTGCCACGGGTGCGTGCGGGGGTGAGATAAGCACGTGCCACGGGTGCGTGCGGGGGTGGGATAAGCACGTGCCACGGGTGCGTGCGGGGGTGGGATAAGCACGTGCCACGGGTGCGTGCGGGGGTGGGATAAGCACGTGCCACGGGTGCGTGCGGGTGGGATAAGCACGTGCCACGGGTGCGTGCGGGGGTGGGATAAGCACGTGCGACAGAGGAGTACACGGGGAAGGGGGGATAGTGATAAACACGTGCGACGGGAGTGCACGGGGGGGGGATAAGCACTGAGACGGGGGGCACGCGGCGGTGGGATAAGCACATGCGACAGGGGCGTACACAGGGAAGGGGGGAAAGTGATAAGCACGTGTGGCAGGCACTAATGGGGGGGGGGGGGGGTAAACACGTCCAATAGGTGGGAGTGGAATAAACACGTGCGATGGGTGGGGGTGGAATAAGCACGTGCGACACGGGTGGGGGTGGGAAAAGTGAGACAGGGGTGCGGGTGGGGTAAGAATGTGCGACGGGTGCGCACGGGGGTTGGATAAGCACGCGATACAGGGGCGTACACGGGGAAGGGAGGATAGTGATAAACACGTGCGACGGGTGCGCGCGGGGGGTGGGATAAGCATGTGCAATAGGGGTGTGCACCGGGGGGGGGGGGAATTTGCACGTGTGACAGGGGCGTGCACAGGCGAGAGGGGGTGCACGGGGGGGGGGGGATATGCAGTGCGACAGGAGCTTGCACGGGGGGGGGGGGGGGGGTGGAGATATGCACGTGTGACAGGCATGTACGGGGGGAGAGGAGAGAAACACGTGTGACAGGGGCACACACAGGGTGGATGGGGGAGAGAAACACGTGGGACAGAGGAACGAACAAGGCATGACGCCACTTGTTGCTTGGTCCTGCCTATTCACTACCACGTGATGTTGATGGCTGAGTGTCTTCCACACACCCATCTTGTTAGATGTATTTTCCATTTGGTTTACATCTCCATGGGATATCTGCAAGCGGGATTTTCAACTTTCTTCACCAAACTCATAACAGGCACTGAATACATAGACTTGGACATATCAGTGACAACACTAGCCCCCCTGGGAATGAAGGCTCTGTCATTAGGGTCTCCTTTACACCACATGTAGACATGTACATTTTTAAATGCAATAAAAACGCAGTACAACCCCATGTGCAAGAAAACTGACAGTACCCCAGTGGGCCCAGTGTACCCCATTGCAGTGCTTCATGTGCATCTAACAATACATCACGCTGCATGCTTGTGCACCGGAAGTCATGTAAACACACATGAACGCCTGCAAATACAACTTAGTAAAGAAAAGACAATGAATAAAAGAAATATTCCAAAAGGAATGTACGGTCACATGTAGAGAAGGAGAGGGCGCGCAGAGATTGTGAGGTAAATGAGCCCGATATCAGGGATCCAATGAGCGGGAGTCCAGGTGTCAGTGAATGGAGCAGGATGCTGTCACCATCCAGCACACTCCGCTCAGGGGATACTCTGGGGACACACTACACCCCTCATACACCGCTAGAAACACACTGAAATAGAAGCCTGCCGGTGAGGTAGCAGTCAGAGATGTGCACAGCAAACACCGCTGCCATCTAACAGCCCTCCACTCACCGGATTCATCGGTCACATAGGGAGTGGCCATCTTGGTCCTCTCACCACGTTCACTTCCGCCGCCGGTGTAACGTGAAAGCAAAGCATGCATGAACCCCCTGCCTGCGTGCCCGTTCCCGCGCGCGCCCCCGCTGCTCAGAAGGAGCAACGCGCATGTGCGCCCGTCCAGCAGGCGGTGCTGCTGGTCACGAGGTGCGGAGTAGCGCCAGTTAATTGAAGAGAATCCTTGTTCAGTGCGGGCATTTTGAGTCTTACCCTCTCCATTTATCACCTTGTCTGTATAATAGCAAGCATTTACAATGTCGTTTTTAGATTTGGATAGTAAGGGGGATGGTCTGATGTTTCCACTAGATCACTGTACCAAAAAAAGGGCCACTTGCAAAAAGTATTTACCTTCCCAGCAGCCTGTGTAAAATCATCAGTAGCTGCAGGCATGTTGGCTGGGTGGAATGCTTGCTATCCCCACCCACTAATGTCCCCATGCTGGCTCCTGCATTTTGTAGTGTCATGTAAACCAGCAAAAGCTACAGCAGCCTGGGGGAGGATGAAGGGGGGATGGGGAAGGTAAGGGTTGCCACCTCAACCCTTTAAAACTGAACACATTAATTGCACAGGTTTTGAGGCTGATTTAACCACTTGAGGATTTACCCCCCTTCCTGACCAGGCCTCTTTTTCCTATTCGGTGCTGCACTACTTTAACTGGTAATTGTGCAATCATGTAATGCTGTACCCAAAGAAAATTTACATCCTTTTTTTCACACAAAGCTTTCTGTGGTATTTGATCACCTGTGCACTTTTTATTTTTTTGCGCTATAAACAAAAAAAGGACCGGAAATTTTGAAAAAAAAACTATATTTTTTACTTTCGGTTATAAAAAATTTATAGCAAACTCAAATTTCATCATAAATGTAGGCCAAAATGTATTCTGTTACTTGTTTTTGGTAAATAAAATCCAAATAAGTGTATAATAATTACTTTGTGTGAACGTTATAGCATCTACAAACTATGGAATAGATACTGCAATTTACACAGCTTTTACTTTCTGACTGCCCATCACATTTCTTGAGGTGCTAAAATACCAGAATAGTAAAAACATCCCCAAATGACCCCTTTTCAGAAAGTAGACACCCTAAGCTATCTGCTGAGAGGAACATTGAGTCCATGGAAGATTTATTTTTTTCCCCAAGTTTTTGGAAAATGAGAAAAACATTTTTTTTTTACAGAAAGTTGTCACTTAAATGATATATTGCTTACACAAGCCATGGGTGTATGTGGAATTACACCCCAAAATACATTCTGCTACTTCTACCAAGTATGGGGATACCACATGACTTTTTGGGAGTGTAGCCACATACAGGAGCCTGAAATCCAATGACCACTTTGAAAGCCTGAAGGTGCGTAACTTCCTCATTTCGCTTCCTCACTACCTATCACAGTTTCGGAGGTCCTTGAAATGCCAGGATAGCACCAAACCCCCTCCAAATGACCCCTTTCTGGAAAGTAGACACCCCAAGGAATTTAAAAAGAGGCATGGTGAGTATTTTGCAGATCCTATTTTCTCTCTCAAGGTTTTGAAATATAAAAAAAAAAAAAAAAAAATATGTTTTTGTTTTCTTTCTTCATATTCTAAAAACGTGTGGCAACAAACGAGATCTGCAAAATACTCACCATGCTTCTTATCAAATTCTTTGGGGTGTCTACTTTCCAAAAAAGGGTCACGGGGGGGGGGGGGGTGCTATCCTGGCATTTCAGGGCCTCCAAAACTGTGATAGGTAATCAGGAAGTGTAATGAGGAAATAAAGCCCTTTAAAAGCCTGAAGGTGCTTATTGGATTTTGGGGTCCTGTACTTGGCTACACTTCCAAAAAGTCTCTCACATGTGGTATCCCCAAACTCAGGAGAAGTAGCAGAATGTATTTTGAGGAGTAATTCCACATATACCCATGGCAGGTGTGAGCAATAAATCATTTAAGTGACAATTTTGTGTAAAAAAAAAAAACTTTTTTTTTGTCATTTTCTAAAAACTTGTAAAAAAATAAATTCTTCTATTGACTCAACAGTCCTCTCAGCAAATAGTTTGAGGTGTCTACTTTCCAAAAAGGGGTCATTTTTGGGGGGTGGGGGGGGGCATTTTATGCCCAGCATTAGATGTTTATGCCACACAACCCTCACTCTTCTAACCACCTGAAGGCCAAGCCTTTTTCTGACACTTTTTGTTCACATGAAAAAAAATCAGTATTTTTTGCTAGGAAATTACTTTAAACCCCCAAACATTAAATATTTTTTTTTTAAAGCAGACACCCTAGTGAATAAAATAGTGGGTGCTACAATATTTTTATGTCACATAGTATTCGCTCAGCAATTTTTTAAACGCACATTTTTTTTAAAAAATCAACTTTATTTACTTTTAATGCTCAAAAACACAATATATTGGCCAATTATTTGGTGAGATATAAAATATGATGGTATGCTGAGTAAAATAGATACCAAACATGCTTTAAAACTGTGCATGCCCTTACATTAGCTAATCTCACCAAGATCTGTGTGATCAGATGCTTTCCCAATTTACAAATGGCGCTGTTTATATCCTGCAAAACAGAAGTGATGAAATACTCGTAGCTTTTGATTTCATAGACTAAAGAGATGATTAACACCATTCCAGTCTCCAATCAGCTCTATGGTCAGCTGGCAGAAACATCGGCTGCATTCTCAGGATCCCCCGATGGCTCGGACATCTTCTCCTGCTGCTTGTAAAAGCAATCCTGCAGCTAATTAGCCACTAGCTTTGCTTTTATATGAAAGCCGATCGCCGGCTGAAAAAAATGATACCAGGATGATGCCTGCAGCTGTAGGCATCATCTTGGTATAACTACTCAAAGTCCAGTGATGTACCAGTACGTCGCTGGTCCTTGTTGGGTGTATATGCTATGTTCTTTTTTTTTTATGTGGTCTGAATGAAAAAAAAAGAGAAGAAATCTCTGCCAGAAAAAGTGTGTGGTATGCCCACCATTAGAATATATTACCCTGCATCCACCCACTTCTAATGTGCCAAAAAATATTATAAAATATATATGCCAAAGCACAGGGGCCATCCACCCACTGGCTACCCCAGGCCCCCATGCTTCAGCATATATGCTCTTTTTTTAACTGCAGATGAAAAATCTCATCCAACAGCGCTACCCACACTGACTTATGTATATTCTGAGAGCAAGACCCTGTTGCTGTCAGAATACACAAGTCCGTGCTGCAGCTGAATGATATCCTCATTTCTCAAGCAGGCTTTTTCCCCCTTTCTAAGATGGGTATTTACAAGCCATTGGGGGAAGCCCCAGCGATTAGGTCGCGCGGTGCCACATGCGCCAATTTCAAGATTGTAGAAGCGTCTTAATAGTGGCACGCTTGAATATAAATTGTCCACGCATAAGTGGTACCCCATGTGGAAAAAGGATGACACCAAGTCCCAAACTATCTTGCCACTGCTCCACGTATATATTTAGCCTGTTGCCCTCTCACAGGTCTTATACATCTTGACCCCATATCTGGACACAGCGATCGCAGAGAGGCATATGTCATATAACGCCCTCCCAGAACTGTATGACTGCGCTGTAGCTGTCATTCAGCTATAGCGTGGTTAAATTAATTGTGAGGTATTTCCCTGTCTGTCCAGTTGGGGAGATTTTCTTTCACTCCCTTTCCAAGAGGCCTAATAGGAAGTGAGAGGAAATCATCCAAACGTGAGATAAAAATATGTTGTGATTACTGCATGCCTGCTGGCCATTTCTTTCCACAACTTCCTGGATTCCCTGCATGCTTTGCAGCTTCTTCTCAGCTATTAACCTTCAGTTTCCAAGGACTATATATCCCATAAGGGCTGCTGCTATAAATGACAAGGCCCCTACAGCCTTCTTGACAGGACCCAACCCCTCCTAAAAATACACTAAAATCATTATTAGTGGACACAAACACAACACAACATAACATACAAAATTCCTGCTAAATTTTAAAGATTAATCTGTATTGAGTAAAAAAAAAAACCTGTGTGCAAACGAGGTCTTGGGGCTCATTCACATGGGTGCTGTGGCCTGCATAGTGTGAATCAGTGTTTTTTTTTAATGTGGCTGGAGCGGTGTGCAGGCAGCCTATGTTGCACTATGAGGATTCTGCAGCTGTAAGAACACAGCCACAGATCCTAATTTGACAGGCATGTAGGTACAGGTCTATGGCTCCCAACACAGCGTGCATTTGGGTCCACTCACCTACACACCTGTCATAATTAGGACCTGTGGCTGTGTTCATACAGCTGGAGTAACGGGCACTCTGACAGCACAAACCGCTCGTTCACACTGTATGAACCACAGAACCCATGTAAATAAGCCTTAAACTACAATTTACAATTTTGCTTTTTATTATTTTATACAATTTTATGTACAATTATTTTTTACATTTATTAACAGCCCTGTTGGGGGGAGGCTTGGGCTTTGGAGAAATGTCAGCGGTCTCAACAGACCCCTGATGTCTCATTTTTGAGACACTGTCCTCAATCTCCATCTCTGCAGCCTCAGCTGCACAGAATAAATGAATAGGGAGAACTCTGCACATTCTTCCTGATCATTCACAAAGTGAATAGTACTGATCACTCACTGTGTTCATTCAGAAAAGGAATGGAATTACTTATTTTCCATCTTGACACTATCATCCACAGCAGACAGCTGCAGGCAGAGAAAGGAGGAGAAGCAGGCTTTCAGCTGCTGCAGGGAGAAACTACATGGGGATCGGTTCCGGTAAATGCTGCCCCACCATCCTTCCTGTCCAAGTTTCCCTTCCTTCTGCTTGCAACTGAATGGGGCTCGGGTACCTTGCTGCCTGCAAGCAGTGATTATTCTACTGACCTCACCTCCTGAAGCTCCTCCTCCAAGCACCTCTGTAGCTCAGAAGGCAGCCTCTATGAATTCTGTAACACAGCAGTGCCTACTCACAGGGCATAGTGAATGTTTGTCACAGAATTCAAGGAAGTAAATGTTTGCTGAAGTTT